TAAATCAGTGATAAATGAGGGCAGTCTGAGAACAATCAAACTTTGGAACTCAAATACTCATGAAAATCCTATGACCTTTCAGGCATGTGAATGCATCCCTTATACTAATCTGAGTTAAATCATCAGATCAAACAAATAGTCTTCAAAGTTAAAAAGATTATTCCATCCTATGAAGGCATTCTAAACTGTTTTCCTATTTCACTAATATTGGGAAAGAAAATTCTTTTCCTATCATAAAAATAGAGAATATCTGATGAAATATCATGGAGATAAGTCTTCCATGCAAGCATTAATGATAGGACTGTGATTGAGGCTAGCCTGGGCAAAAGTGAGATGCTATCTTACATAGAGATCATACACATCCATGGCAGGAAACAACAAGGAAAAACAAAAAATAATGGATCTGACTTGGGAATGACAAGATATGTTAGGTTGCCTGGCAATGCCATCATTTGAGGAGACAAGAGGAAGAATGTTGCATGGGATGAAAAGGACTTGAGCTGTGCTGTGCTTCAGTAATGTGATGTGATGAAGAGATGCCAGCTCAGGGAGGTGACAACTGCTGCTGTGGGAGAAACTAAAGCACAAGAGAAAATTTAGCTACGATCCCATTATATCCAGCCCAGGACATGGTGAATTCCTTATTTCGTCATACCTTATATGCTTCACACTCATATGCACTTACCCACTAATCACTAAGCTATATCACTTGTCAGATTAGCCGTGAATAGTGTCATAGTTAACGCTTGTGTTCATGGAACACTTACTCAGTAGCTAATACTAAGTCACAAAGCTAACTTCCTCACCTCCCTTTATCTCATCATCCAGGCATCATTGTATCACTTCACACCATTCACTGAAAAGGGATGAATGCAGTGCAGTGTGTGTGTGTGTGTGTGTGTGTGTGTATGTGTGTGTGTGTGTGTGATTAATAGGAGTTAAGAATCTCATGGAGGGGCGGGGGGAGGCTGGGAAGGGAGGTGAAGGGTAAACAAAGGAGGAGGCTGCAATGCTTGGTAAGAAATGTATGCATTATCCTGCCCATGTAATTGTAACCCCTCTGTACAGAATGTTCTCAAATAAAATAAAATTAAAATTAAAAAAAAAAAAGAATCTCATGGAGTTTCCTTCTTGGGCTTGCTTTGAACCACAATCCTCAGATCTCAGCTTCCTGAGTAGCTAGGATTGTAGGCCTGAGCTATCAGCACTTGGACCAATACAGTATTTTTTAGATCATCGTCACATTATTTTTTATTATAGCATATTATTATAATTATTCTGTTTTATTAGTAGTTACTATTACTCTCTTACTAGAATTAATAAATTAAACTTTACCATACGTACATACGTATAGGAAAAATCACAAACAATATAGGGCTCAGTACTAGCTACAGTTTCAGGCATCCACGGGAGTTCTGAGAATGTTTCCATATGAACAAGAAAGGGCTACTGCATTTGCAGTTCTTAGCACACTCTTCCATAGCCAGCTCCTAACCTATCCTTTTAAGGAAGCATTATGTACTGGAAAATAAGCGATAGAATTTTCAAATTAAATGAAGCCAGTTTGTAAATAACTCCTAGTACACTGTGTTCCATTTTTTTCTCATGCAGAAAATAACTGTTGCACCTGTTCCTTCCCTCCCCATGATCGAACACCAACAAATCCTGCAAAGAAAACCATTCTTTACTTGTTTCTTTGTTTTCACTGCTATTGCCCTATGTATGGACAACCCTTGTCACCCTCAATTTCTCTTTAAGCTGCAAGGCTGTGCAAAGCAACCTTTACTCTACGGGGGGCTTCCCAAAAGTCAGTCTGTGCTTATGTCTCCATGATGACATTCATTCTTCTCTGTTGTGCATCTTCAGCATTACTAGGTTACTCTGGGAACTCTTTATGAGCAGGGACTATCTTTTACTTACTTTTCTGACCTCTGTACAATGTGCATATCAAACATTTAGCAAATGTTTTGAGTGAATGAGTCGATGAATGAAAATGTTCAGCAGTCCGGACATCAGATTTCTTCTCTGCCATTTCTAGGTTTTCTACCATATCAGGCTCACTCTTCTGGGCTTCTCATTTTGTTATTCCAATGTTCTGAGGGCTGGGTCACATTTTGTTTTTCCTGTGGTTTCTAGGTCAGTGTCCTGCATATAATGGGCATTCAACAAATCTTTGCTGAATGAATGAATGACTTAATGAAGCTCCAAACATAATTGATGGGAATGAATCACAAAAGGCACGGAAACATAATGTACTGGAAAATAAATGATAGAATTTTCAAACTAAATGAAGTCAGCTTGTAAATAGTTTCTGGTACATTGTGTTCAAATTTTTATCATGTGAAAATAGCCATTGCCACATTTTTATCCAAATAAAGTTAACATCATAACTCCAGTTAACATCATAACTCTCTTCTACCTAGAAAAGCTACTTTGATTTCTTCTCAATAACATAACAAACCCAATTTTGCTATTAGATGTGTCTCCGACAGGGCAGAAAAGATAAACCTGGGAAATGAACAGAAAACAGCCATTCTAAAAAGGAAAAAAAATCTGTCCTTACAGTAAGATGGATTACCATTTTCAACACCAGATTCAACCACTGCAGAAAAACCTCAAATTAAATTAGGAGTTGGTCCTTTTCTCTCACCAGAAAGAATGTTGTTAGGGTAGCATTTGATCAATTAGCATTTGATTAGAACATCCTGTAGAGGGCGTCCTTGCACCAAGAGCCATAGAAATTTGAGCAATGCTAAAGGGAGAAAAATCTTCAATTAAAACCACAGGCCCCAAATCAAAGAGAATGTCTATTGGGTTGTGAAATTATTGTCTTTAACCGAGTGGCTGTGGCCTCACAATGGTTAAAGGTTTCCTAATGCAGCAATGTATCATGTAAATGAGTATTTGCTGAGATGAAAAATAATAAAATGTTGGGAAAGAGGTAAACATTTTGTTTTCAAGGAAGAATGGAACTTTGCATGCAAACAGTCTTAAGTATGACTTACTTAGCAGAGTGAGGCATGGTGTCTAAGGGAATGGATGATGAGATCAGACTGCCTGGGATTTGAACTATGATCAACACTGACCAGTTGGATATCTGCAGTCAACTTACTGGAAAAAATGAGTCTTAATTTCCCATTAGTAAAATGGAGCCTAATAATAGCAACTTATTAAAGAACAGTGAAGAGGAACTAAGCACTTCGAAGTATCTTAAAAACTAAGACACTGCAAGTTCAAAAAGTCATAACTGAAACTATTTGTCTAATTTTTTCTTTTCTTTTTTGCTTTGCAGGTGATCAGCTGGACAAATTTTATAGTGCAGATGTATAATCTGTTCTTTTTCATAATTTTTTGTGGCCTAACCTTTATTCAACTTGAGCCATGTGCACGTCCTGCTTCTCTTCTGTGTTTTCTATTTTCCTTTCCCTTTTGGGGTGTCCACCACTCTACAAAGGACTGTGTAAAATACCATGCCCAACTCCAAATGTCCCTGGGACATTTGTCTGTGGCATCTGGGTGCTTAAAGAACAAAAAGAAGTAAACAAAGTTTCTGGAGTCCAAAAACTTCCTGAGGTCTTTGAAAAACCTTTTGCCTGCATTTTCTTTGTAGCAGGAATTAGGCAAGAGGCCTGAATCCTTTGTGTGAGGGTCGGGTGAGAAAGAGAAGAGGTGCTGGGTAGTCTAGGCCACGGTGAGCCAACCACACTCCTGCAGAGCCGCCCTGATCTTCCACTCTGGTGCCTGTATTTCAGTAGCCACACACACACACACACACACACACACACACACACACACACACACACACACACACACACACACACACACACACACACACCATCAGAGCCGCCCTGATCTTCCACTCTGGTGCCCATATTTCAGTACCACCCTCCCCCCTCCCCCACACACACCATCTCCAATTTTCTTTTCTTTTGCTCAAGGCTAGCACTCTATCACTTGAGCCACAGCACTACTTCTGGCTTTTTCTGTTTATGTGGTACTGAGGAATCGAACCCAGGGCTTTGTGCATGTTAGGCAAGCACTCTACCACTGAGCCACCTTCTCAGCCTCTCCAGATTTTCTTAAAAGACCACCAAATGTGAAGAGATTCACGACTTTTAGAGGAGCCCTGTCCTCAGGGGGGCGAGGCACAGATACCACCTCGTCCCAAGGAAAACTCTTCTCGGCATTGCTGGGCTCCTACGAAGACAGAGTTGGTTGAGTGTCAAGGGCCGAATAAACGCGTCCGACGTTGGCCCCACACTGGCCCCCCCCAGCGTCTCCCGAGCGGAGCGGGCGGAGTGTCCGGCGCGTGGCGGGACCGCGAAGCTGAACCGTGCAGAACGGGAGCTGATGCTGACAGCACGGGAGGAGAGGCCAGGGCCCGTCTTTCGTTGGCACCGGGGTGCGCAGACTTGGGGGAGTGGACATCACGACCACCTTGATTGCCCGGTCAAGCCCAGCCTTCTCTGTTCACCGGTTCCCGCCCACCCGTGCCTCGCCTTCTGGCCGGGGAGTGGGGGGAGAGGGAAGCGAGCGACATCTCGGGGGGGGGGGGGAGTGTGTGTGTGTGTGTGTGTGTGTCCTCTGCGTCCTTGGGTCACACAGCCCCACCTGGCGCGGGGCGGGCGCTCGGGGGTCCCGGGCCCCGCCCCGCGCGGCCACCGGCCCCGCCCCGCCCGCACCCCTCTGGCTCCGGCCGGCCCTTCCCACTCGCTCCTCTTGACGCGGTGTCCGACCCTGACCGCGGGCGCGCCGGGGACGCGCCTGGCACCGCCCCCCCCCCCCAGCCTCGCCAACCCCGCCAGCCTCGCGCCTCCCGCCCGCGCCCGCAGCACGTCCCCTCCCTCCGCCCTCCCTCTCTGCTTCCCTCCCTCCCGCGCACTCCCAGGCTCGCTCGCAAGCACCCACCTCGAGGGCTTACACGTCCGGCCGTCCGAGTGGGATCCGCTCCCAGCCCCGCGAGCCCGAGTCCCCCGCGGACCACGGGACTCCAGGTTCCACCACCGGCGAGGAGGTCGCGGTCAGAGATGGCCCTGAGAAGCGCCTTCCCCGCGGCGGCGGTCCTGCTCGGGAGCATCCTCCCCAGCCTCCTCCCGCTGCCCACGGAGGCCGGGCAGCCTCCGCAGGAGAGCCTGTACCTGTGGATCGACGCGCACCAGGCCAGAGCGCTCATAGGTGAGGCCCCGCGCCCGCGCCCGCGCCGCTCTGCGTCCCCGCTCTCCTCCGGGGAAGCGGGGCGCGCGTGCCCTCGGTGCGCCTCCAAACTTAAACTTCCGAGGGTCGCTGCGAACCCTCCTTTGAATACCTTAATTAAGATCTGAAAGCTTATCAAATTTTCTCTATTAAAAAAAAACAGCCCCAAACCATGCTGTGGCCGGTTGTTACTGCCCAAGGTCTTTAGGGGAGGTCAGTGTTGATTTGCATCGTTAACTCCAGACTTGTTTTTTCCTGAACACAAGTGTCTGTTAACATCATCCTTAACTGTATGGAGAGGAAAGGAACTCCGGCAGGTGCTCAGACGGGACCCCCTACTATTCTTTGGCCTTCTCCTCCTTCTCTCTTCCTCTTCCTTTTCTTCTTCCTCCTCCTCCTCTTCCTCCTCCTCCTCCTCTTCCTCCTCCTCCTCCTCTTCTTCCTCCTCCTCCTCTTCCACCTCTTCTTCCTCCTCTACCTCTCCTCTTCCTCCTCTTCCTCCTCCTCGTCCTCCTCCTCCCCCTTCCTCCTCCTCCCCCTTCCTCCTCCTCCTCCTTCCTCTTCCTCGTCCTCCTCCCTCTTCCTCCTCTTCTTCCTCTTCTCCTCCTCCTCTTCCTCCTCCTCCTCTTCCTCCTCCTCCTCCTCTTCCTCCTCCTCCTCCTCCTCTTCTTCCTCCTCCTCCTCTTCCACCTCTTCTTCCTCCTCTACCTCTCCTCTTCCTCCTCTTCCTCCTCCTCGTCCTCCTCCTCCCCCTTCCTCCTCCTCCTTCTTCCTCTTCCTCGTCCTTCTCCCTCTTCCTCCTCTTCTTCCTCTTCTCCTCCTCCTCTTCCTCCTCCTTCTCTTCCTCCTCTTGCTCTCTTCCTCCCCCTGCTCTCTTCCTCCCCCCTCCTCCTCCTCTTCTTTTTCCTTCTAATTTGAAATCTTTCAAGTCCAGCTGGTTTGATGGTTTTGTCTATTATTTAAAAACAGGATTTGAAGAAGATATCCTGATTGTTTCCGAGGGGAAAATGGCACCCTTTACACATGACTTCAGAAAAGCACAGCAGAGAATGCCTGCAATTCCTGTCAATATCCATTCCATGAATTTTACCTGGCAAGCTACAGGGCAGGTAAGTTGTGATCATCAGCGAGTGGGGGAATGTATCCCTTCAGCTTTTTTTTTTTTTAACTTCTTAATGACAAATAGAAATAATAGTGCATAGTGTGTAGTATGATAAATTTACCGTTTTCAAGAGTAATTTCTCCTTTGGTTACCAAAACAATAAAGAATCAATTTTGAAGTATTTAAGGTTGTCACATAAGCCAAGCAGCAGTGGCTCATGCCTGTAATCCTAGATACTCAGGAGGCTGATATCTGAAGATCATGGTTTGAAAGTAGGCAGGAAAGTGGGTAATACTCTTATTTCCAGTTTACCACCAAAAAGCTAGTGGTGGAGGTGGCTCAAGTGTAGAGGACTAGGACTTGGGTGAAGAAGCTAAGGGATAGCACACAGGCCCCAAGTTCAAGCCCCAAGGCTGTTACAAGATTAAAAGTTGTCACATAAATGATTCTCAACAGAAAAAAGTGAGCAATGGCCGATTGCTTGCTATTTTGATAAGACTAAGTGTCTTGAGGTTGCTGAAGATATAAGGATCTCAATTACCAATAACACTGTCTTTTTATATTCAAATTTAACATAGCATTTAAAAGACTCTTTTCCCATAGTATCTACTAATCAATTGACGTCATTCATGCTTTACAGCAAACTTTCAAAGTCTATAAGTATATTTGACATCATATCATCATATGTTGAATGTTACTCAATGAAATGTGGATGCTATCTATTTCTGATAGGCTATAGACTATCATATTCAAATGCTACATAAAAATAATGCAGCCTAATGATGTTTTAAGTTACCATTTAAAATGCTTCCTATGGAACATTGACAACCACCATTTTTTTTTTTTTATTGTGAGAATACCGTATAGAGGAGTTACAATTACATGGGCAAGATAACGAGTACATTTCTTATCAAGCATTGTTGCCTCCTCGTTGTTTCCCCTTCCCATCCCTTCCCATACCACCATCTATTTTTATAAAGCATTCCTTCTATTCCTTACCACATAAGCATCTTTTATGTGTTACCTTAAAAAAAATACCTTCAAGGGTAACAACCTCTGACAAGAAATGTACTTATTACCTTACTGATGTAACTGTAATCTCTCTGTACAGCATCTTTAAAAGAAAATAAAATTTAAGTTAAAAAAGAACTAAAAATACCTTCAAGAAGTTGTACGAAGGGGTTTCTATTCAACATATGGTTTATTAGTACAATGCCTCTTGGTCAGTATCACTTCTTCCATCCATCATTCTCCATGATCTCTCCCAATTTCTCCTATGCATCGTATACATTTTCAGTATAATATAAATGGCCTCTTATTTTGGAAAGAAAGGGAGAGCAAAATATTTATGTGAGTTTAGCTTCTATGGTGCAATTGAAGAATAGACCCAAGAGGACAAATGGTAAGTAATAAAATCTTTTGCTCATTAGTTGTTAAAATGTGTCCACTGTGAAAATCATTATAATTATAATTAATGTCACATTTTCAGGGTTTTTTCCTTTATTTTCTAACTTCTGAGATGGCTATTTTCAATAAGAATGTGATCAAGAAAACACTTTATAAAAAGTAACTATTTGAAATTGAGAAACCCCTTTGTTTCCTACTAATTGCCTGTTATGGCACAGGCATGACCATTTTAGCTCTTTCTTTTTCCCCCCACTTTATTTGTTCTCCTTCTCTCTGTTTTTAAAATTCTCCTTCTGAAATAGATCAAATCCAGACCCTTCCATGCTTCCATTGCTCTGTGGTTTAAAAAAATGATGTTTTGAATAAAGCATGGTGTTTTGGATCCACTGAAATTCTTGACAGAAAGGACATAAATTCAAATACACCATTGTGCAGATGAGCCACCGAGGCTTCTGTGTGAGGCCCTTTCCATAGGTACTTTATAAACAATTAAGTCTGGAATATTGTGAAACTGGTAATAAGTCAATGGGTGGCTATTTCATGATCTCTTTTTCTTTCCATCTGAGTCTTTACTTGTGGTGGACCATTTATTAGATGAGTGAACAATAATACTATAATTTTAATAAAGTGTTTTGACCAAATTCTTATGAACCCATCTAAAGCATCAGAAGGAAGCTTAGATTGGGCCCTACTAGCTAAAAGAATTTGGTAGCTATAAGAGACTGAAACTACCAGTAACTCAATAACTCTTTTCTTTATTTTTCTATTCTTTGTGTTTTGCATATGAGTTTGTCTTCTAAAGAATGGACTTTGGAGCAAAGGCTTCCATTATTGCTTTCTAACATAAGCATGTTTGCAAATATCAATACATTGTTGAGTAAAAACCGGTGTGGCATATCAAACAATCTCAGAAATGTGCCTTGTAGGGGATTAGAGAAAATAGTGGAACTTGGATGAAAATGAAGTGTTTTCCCCTCCTGCTTAGGTGTTGATCATGGCACATGAATTATCTCATTAGACAGGACAAGGTTAGCACTTCTATTAAGTCCTTGTTTTTTTTTAATGTTCAGTCCGCAAGGAGAGGTAATCCCAGGTAACAATATGAAATTTGATGTCTAATTTTTCTTCCAGGAGAAAGTAGAAGTGGGGTGGGAGAGAGCAGGGAGATAATGTGGGTAGGTGAATCTACACAATGACAAACAGCAGCATGTTTTTAAGTCTTATTTAAATATGACTCACTTTACTCACTAAAATTATGTGATTCCAGCACCATAAGGTTTGAAATGCCAGGAAATTTTGAAGATGGGAAAAATAATGACTTCAATACCAATTAAGTATTTTGAAAGGCACCTGTGCCTAAAGCCAAACCACATCAAAACATTGACATGGAAAATGAAAAGTTGATTCCATTACCTACTTATTTCATCTGAATGATATTAAACACTGAAGTGCTTCAACAATGCATCAACAAAACATATATCAGATTAAAGGCCTTTTAAACTTTATATTTTAGTTTAGCAACATATGAACAAAGTTAAAATAACTTTAGGGTTAAAGATATAGTAGAAGCAGTAAGGTGTTACTTACTTCCAATAAAGTATTAGTCCAGTAGCCCAAAGTGTGCTGGAGGGCATTTAAAATATGCCTTCTGGTCTATGTCAGACAAGTGCAAATAGAATTTACAATAAGATTCAGTCCCTTGCCTCAAGTTGGATAAATCTTTTGGAAATGGTTTGAATATGTGGAAAATTGTGAATTCGCAGAGATTCCTGTACCAATTTGATCTGGATGTGCAAAAGGCTTGCAATAAATCATTTGAGAGGGGATTTTTATTCCCGGCCGTAGCCTAAGGAAATAACCTTGAAAATAAATAAAGACTTAAGTCCAAGAAAGTTCTTCCTTGTGCTGTTTATAAAAGTGAACACAAGAACACAATTTGCAGCTCCAGCAATAGTAAACAGTGTCAAGACTATTCTAAGAGATCCATTTGAGGCCAAAGGAAAATGTTCACGACAAATCAAATAGTCTATCATATGGTATATTCTGATTGAGCCCATTAGAAAATCATCTGGCAGGCCTAAGAAAAATTATCTGAACAAAATGTGATCCTCCAATGTGTAAACACTGGTTCCACCTACATGTATTGCATTCTGTCAATGAGTGCATATTGATTTGTGATTTGTCACTTTAAAAAGCACTGCCATACACATTAAATGTGTATAACAAATTGTATGATGTTCTGTATTATTAAAAATATTATCAATATTTGTTATCTGGTATCTTTTTTTTTTTTTTTTCAGCTGTAGGGCTTGAACTGGGCATTGTCCCTCAGCTCTTCAGCTCAAGGCTAGCACTCTACCACTTGAGCCACAGCGCCACTTCCAGTTTTCTGAGTGGTTTATTGGAGATAAGAGTCTCACTGACTTTCTTGCCCAGGCTGGCTTTGAACTGCGATCCTCAGATCTCAGCTTCCTGCATAGCTAGGATTACAGGCATGTGCGGCGCCTGGCATCTGGTATCATTTTTACACTACATGTCATTCAACATAATGGCAGGAAAAATTGGTTTTCTTGGATATCATCTCTACGAAGACCAAAGATGGATTTCACTAAAGTTTATCTGGTTTTTCACTGTGTGTGTGTGTGTATGTGTGTGTATGTGTGTGTGTGTGTGTGTGTGTGTGTGTGTGTGTATACTAGGGCCTGGGCACTGTCCCTTAGCTTTTTTTGCTCAATATTGGTGGTCTACCTCTTAAGCTACAGTTCCACTTCTGGCTTTTTTGTTGTTGTTGTTGTTGGTTGTGGGGCTTGAACTTTGGGCCTGGGTGCTGTCCTTCAGCTCAAGGCTAGTGCTCTACCACTTGAGCCACAGTGCCTCTTCTAGTTTTCTAGTGGTTTATTGGAAATGAGAATTTCACAGACTTTTCTGTCTGGGCTGGCTTTGAATTGCAATCCTCAGATCTCAGCCCCCTGAGTTGCTAGGATTACAGGAGTGAGCCATCAGTGCCCAGCCACTTCTGGCTTTTGGTTAATTGGAGATGAGAATTTCACAAATATTCCTGCCCAGGCTGGCTTCAAGCTGTAATTCTCTGATTTTAGCCTCCTGAGTAACTAGAATTAAAGGTGTAAGCTGTAAATGTCTAACTTACTGGTTCATTTGAAGGTTCTCAAAACCTTACTTTAGAAGGCTTTCATACCTGAAACTATTCTACTTTGTTCTCTTCCTGAAATTTTCTTTTAAAAAAAAATCATGGACAATTTTGCCACTGTTGTATCTTCATGTAAATTACTCTAATTCTTCCATGGTTATTTTCAAGGCTTTTAGATGAGAGGAGTTTCTGCAATAGAGGCTTAGGCTAAAAGACTCTTTTAGTCATTAAAGGCAAATACCCTTTATTATTGTATACAACTTTTAAATCATTGATGTTTTTCAATGTGACATGCCTTATTCTTTTCCCCTAAATTTGGCATAAGCAGGAACCATGAGCAACCATTTTTGTTTCCTAAATTAGGCACTAATTAAACATTTTATTTGGAAAATAACACTTCCTAAAACCAATAGCTTTCAAGTAAAAATTTAACGAGAAGTTTTGTTAGACAA